GAACCCGCCACCTTAGGTGTACGTGGCTGGCGCCTTAGCCGGTTGAGCTACAGGCGCCGAGCCAGATTTTGATCTTTAATAGAATAATTTGTAGCTTTGGACATTTGACAGTGCCTTTCCTCCTCTATATTACTTATAAGTGTTTTGAATAGCGGTGACTATAAACTGGCCTGGAATTTCCAAAGTTCCTTCTGGAGTTGTCTTGAACAGAAATTATGTTTGTAGTCTGCCAGTATGTTAACAGAGCCATCTTTTGTTCAAAACTCTCCTACTTTCTCCTTGTTTTCCTTTTATAATCTTTGATATATGTCATCCAGTCTTAGGGATTTATCAACATACATATTATAAATTTGGCTTGGATAAATCTGAGTATTCACTATAATTTAACCAGTTACTAATGTGTCATTTCAGGAATAGCTTTGAAGTCGTAATCATGTAAAACATCCTCTAGTAAGACTGACACAAAAAAAATTTGTGCAATGCATCAGATATCTTTTCACCCACAATTATCAAGGAATTTATTGATTCAGCCTTGGCTTTATGCATTTTATATATGTTCTTTATTATTTAATTTTGCTTTTTGAAGGGGCAGAGGTATAGTAAAGAGATTCACATTTATTTAGTACTTAATGCTGTAGTATTACTTGCATGGGTAATAGTTCCTGGCACAGAATAATTTTTCACTAGATGCTTATTAAATGAATGAGTGAATGCCATGTATTGTGCTTGTCACTTTATATATGAGCCCTTGTTTACTCTTACAACAATCCTATGTGAGGTATGTTCTATTTTTCTTCATCTATAAAATACAAGAATAATAAGTAGAAGAATAATAGTACCTATTTTACAGGATGTTAAACAGTTAGGACAGTTTCTGGCAAATAGTAAGCATTATTTGAATATTATTACTGTTACTTTCCAGCGTCACCTATGAAGGCACCGAAGTACAGAGTTTTTGAGTAATTTTCTCAAGTATTACAGAGGGAATTAAAGGGCTGGAACAAATTTCTAAACTTCATGCTCTTTCTTCTAAATCTTTTACCTTCTTTTAGCCTTGGTGTTTTTGTCAAAGAGCTCTACAAAATGTTATGTTTGCCTGATTTTCATGTGTACCTACCTTACTTAGTAGGTATCCCATTTTTTTGTTTCTTACTTAGGCTACTTTTCAACTCTTTGGAAGATTATTTTCCTTCTTCAGTTTCGTTGTACATGGCCTTTTTCACTTCATAGGTGAAGGAGCTAAGAAAATTTCACCCCAAAATATGATTCCTTGGTATAAAGATTATTTTGAATTAAAGGCTATTCATAATCAGGAAACTCTGAACAAAGACTTTCCTCTATCTACTTAAAATCTTAAAGGCCTGCTAGATTCCTTATCACATGCTAATAGATCTGGCCCTAAGGTCATTTGCAGCACAATACCTGCCTCTCAGGTTAATTTACTAATCAATCTGTTTCCCTTCGTCTACTCATCTCCCTTAGCAACCACTGGTGCACGTGTACTTCCCAGTTTCTCTCCCCCCTCCCTTCTAGAAGGCATCTTTAAAAGCCACTGAGGCTTTGAGAAATCATTCTTGTGGTTCCCCCCGTGCACATGGCGTTTGGAAGGAAACCTTTCTCTTATTGATCTACCGTAACCGTGAGTTGATCTTTTCAGCGAACCAACATAGGGGAAAAGGGCAAGTTTACCTGAGACTCCCCTTCATAAGCATCCTGATCCTCAGGACATATTTCTCTTGGAGTTCAGTACATTAGTTTGAATAACTGCAAAACTTCTCATTGGCTAATTATTACAACATGTCTTTTTCTAATCTTTTCTCAAATTAATTTAGTTTTCTTTCTCACCCCTCTCTCTTTCTCTTTTTTATTTTTATTTTTTTATTTTATTTTTTTTTTGAGACGGAGCCTCAAGCTATCCCCCTGGGTAGAGTGCCATGGCATCACGCTCACAGCAACCTCCAACTCCTGGGCTCAAGCGAGTCTCCTGCCTCAGCTTCCCAGGCAGCTGGGACTACAGGCATCCGCCACAATGCCTGGCCATTTTTTTTTTTTTGGTTGCAGCCATCATTGTTGTTTGGTGGGCCCGGGCTGGGGATTTGAACCCGCCACCTTAGGTGTATGTGGCTGACGCCTTAGCCGCTTGAGCCACAGGCGCCGAGCCTCTTTCTCTTTTTTAAATTGAGACAGAGTCTGACTCTGTTGGCCCTGGCTACAGTGCAATGGTGTCATAGCTCACAGGAACCTCCGCAAACTCTTAGTTTCAAATTATCCTCTTGCCTCAGCCTCCCTAGTAGCTGGGACTGCAGTGCCTGCCCCAATGCCTGGCTAGTTCCTTTTTCTATTTTTAGTGGAGCGGAGTCTCCTTCTTGCTGTGGCTGGTCTCAGACTCTGAGCTCCACCTGCCTTGGCCTGTCCCAAAGTGCTAGGATTATAGGGGTGAGCAACTATGCTTGGCTTTTCTTACCCCTTGTAATTCTGGAAGTTCTCAATTAATACTTGGTTTGAGATGTAAGGAAGTTGAGGTATAATGTACAACATTCCTTTCTGACGCAATTGGGTTTTAATAATTTATTTGTACTTGTTAGTTCACTGTTAGTCTGATTCTCAGTTCTACTGCTCCATCATTCATGTATATGATGAATGTAATTTCTCACAACATAGTCATTTTAATTAATCAGTGTACTACGTAGACACAAACCAATTTAGATAAGTTGTAATTCTTTCTTATATTCTTTTACAATGTAGAGCCTGTGGCAGGTAAACTTTTGTGAAGTGGAGATTTCTCTGAAAAGAGGCTGTGGACTCATTGCTTAAGTTGAAACAGATGTAAAAGAGATGCACAGAATACTCACATTAGTAACTGAATATGTCTGAGCATCCTGATAGTTTTCTTTAGCAACTTTACGGAACATTAGTGGAAAAGATTTGAATGACTGTGATTGGGAGTGGAGAGGGTAGTTGGTAGAGAGATGGTAATGGCCCAAATGGTTGGGTGATAAATCGGACTAGGTAGGGTGAGGTCAGATTATGGAGGTCTCAAATGCCTGATTATGCAATTTGAACTTTCTTTTCTTTGTCCTTTATATGAAAAATACCTTCAGGCCAGGTGTGGTGGTTCATGCCTGTAATCCTGGCACTCCAGGAGGCTGAGTTGGGTAGATCGCTTGAGCTCACCAGTTGGAGACCAGCCTGAGCTAGAGCAAGACATCCTCTCTTAAAAAAAAAAAAAAAAAAAACCAAAAAACATAAAAACCTGATAGTCCCTGCTACTGGGGAGGCTGAGACAAGATGATTGCTTGAGCCTAAGAGTTTGAGGTTGCTGTGAGCTATGACGGCTGGGCACTCGACCAAGGGCTACAAAGTGAGACTCTGTCTGAAAAAAAAAAAGTCTTCAGGTTCTAAGAACGTACTCATAAAATTCAAGATTGATTGGCTTCATATACCCCGTGTTAAATTTTAGAATTCCATCTAAAACCAAAACTGGTATTTCAAAAATAATCTTTAAGATTGTGTGATGATCAAAGAGCTTTTCATCAGCCAATAGTTACATGATGAGAAGAAACTAGAGATATTTTGGAGATCTTGGCACAACTTCAAAGAGTGATAGAACAGAATGCTGAGAACTCTTCCAAGTTTTGGAAAGCAGCAGTTTGGCTGAGACCCACACACTGAAATGAGAAGCTTCCTTGAAAAAGATTTAAAAGTCTTTTCCTATTTTGGAATTCCAAAGGATGGCAAAATTCACATATGCCTAAAACTCAATACTGCACCAGTTTTCCTCCTCAAGTAACTCCCCTAGCTTTTTTTCCTCTCCGTTAGCACAGGTAAATGATTCCTGAGGCATTTGCATTTGCTTCTCAGTAAGCTGCCCCATAGCCCATCTAAATGCCGTTACTATATGTTCTGGAACGAATCCCTTTCATCCCCATCTCATGCATTTGTTTTTGTTTTGCAGAACGGAAACGGTGAAGCAACTTAAGAGATTTGGGGACATATCGCCCAAATGACCGACCTATAGTTAGCTGGTGTGGCTTCGCAAGATTTTGGTACCCAAAGCAGCGGAAACCTGGTTTTAGCATCCTTCCTCTGATCATATATTTCTTAAAACAAGCGTTCTGCACTTAAGACCATCATCTCTTCCCCATCCAACACCTCCTTCCAGCCCGCCCCCTAGTTCCTTCCCACCTCGTCCGCCCGCGGCCTGCGCATGCGTCCTAAGAAACCCCTACGCTCCCGGCTGGGAGTATTGTCGGGGGCTTTTTTCTTTACCAGGAACATGGCGGCGAGTCAGGGAGGTGGTGGTAACAGTGGGGGCGGCGGTTGTGGTGGAGGTGGTAGTAGCGGTGGCGGTGGCGCGGCCGGCGGGGGAGGTGGCGGGGCCGGAGGGGGCGGCGGCGGCACCCTGGTGTTGCCCATCCCGGGACAGACTCTTTATGGTCAGCCGTTCCCCAACGGGCCGCAGTGGAATCCGGGCAGCCTGCAGCCTCAGCACACCGTGAGGAGCCTGGACAGGGCCCTGGAGGAGGCGGGCAACTCTGGCATCCTGAGCCTCAGTGGTAGAAAACTCCGAGACTTCCCAAGCAGTGGCTACGACCTGACCGACACCACCCAAGCAGGTGACAGGACCTGGGGGAGGGGAAGCTGGGCTGGGAAGGAGGAGGTGGAGGGAGGGGGTGGCTGCGTGGCTGCGCCGTTGGACTCCGCGGGTCTGGGCGGGTGAGCGGTGGCGACGGCGACACTAACAAAGTCGGAGCAGCCTGTTCTGAATGTGAGGGGCAAAGCAGGGAATAGGGGAGGGGGGGGGAAGGAACGCTGAGTGAAGGATGTGTGGAAACTGGGTGGGATGTTAGGGGTGAAAGAGCATTATTGTTAAAGCAGTTTCTCTGGTAAGGGTGGGAGGGAGATATTGATTGACACCTTCCTTAATGCATTTCTTTCAACTCCTGGATGTTCCCAACCGTGTGTGTTTGGGGTGGGGGGGGCAAAACAAAACCCAACCAGACAATACATGAAATCATAATCTCTACATATTCCTTAAAGGCATACATGCCCGCAAGATTGGCATATCCCTTTTCAGAGTACAGTGGCAGTATTGCCATGGTTTTTTCTGTGCTCTTATTTTGTGTGATTTAATCATCCTAGGATAGTGTTGGCTTCTTTCTTGTCACGTATGCCTTTAAAGACTGAGGTTTTTCATTTTCCTAGTGTTCAGAAGGTAGTTTCAGTTAAACTAGTATTTGTTGCAGTGGCAAATTAAATCATTAATCACATACATGTCTGGTTGCTAGGGGAATGATAATCTTTGTTTTGAGTTATCTTAGAGTCTTAATTTTTACTGGAGAAAGCCAACAATTTTAAGGGCACTTTCGAGAAAAAAAAATAACTCTTTTCCTTCAGGAGTTGTGGATGAATGGCTTATCATTTTGGATGAGAAATTGCCTGTCATAATGTTCTTCATATACTCTCTGGTAGTCTTTGTTGTGGCTGGCATTTTTTATTAGAAACATACTCTCTTGTAAGCCAATACTGAAATTATTTTAGGTACGTTTTGGTTTAATGAAAGGTTTTTTTTGCCTTTTATAATCTTTAAATTTGTTAGTTATGTGTCTCTTTTCATCTTCTTTGCTGAAGTAAATCCTGGACAGAATTATTTTAATAGATGTAGTGATTTTGAAACAATATGGTAAGTAAATTCATCCATAGTGAGAAGTGGCAAAAGATCTCTTATTTTTAGTATAAGACAATTTCGGTGTATTCATTTTCTAGATATTGAATCAAGGGTATGTGTGTTGGAGCAGGGTGGGGGGAAGAAGAAAATCTAAAATTGAAGCTGTCCACCCAGTGATTCTTTTAGGAATTATCTAAGAACTGTGAATGCATAATAGGTCACTGATGTTATATTTTGGAAAGCATGTTTGATTATTTACTCCTTCACTCTGAACAGATTTCCTAAACAATATGCTTATATATTTATGACTGTTGACATGATATTATTCTACTTGGTGTGTTGTTCAAAGACTTTAAGAAAAATGATTTCAGACTGTATCATTATGGGCTATATTGTTTATTGTTTTTTATAACCTATCAAGGATCCTTCTATCTGCAGAACAAAGTTTAGGATAGGAATTCTGGCTTGGCATTCAGGGCTTTCAGTGTCTAGCTCCAAGGTATTGCAAACTTACCTTCCAACACACTCCTACATAGAACTGTTTTTAACAACTAGGTCAACTTTCTGAACCTCAGACGTATTTCGTGCATTTCTGCCTCTTTTTTTTGTACCAGATCATCTGCGTGCTTGGGGGTTCCCTCTTTTTCCACCTATTTAGTTTTGTTCACTCTCCAGCTCTTCCAGGAAGCTGTCTCCAACTCCTTTAGTCCATGGTACTCTCCTATTTCTTTGAATTCCCCTGACACTTACTGTCTTTACCACTTACTTGGCAGTGTTGGCTTTATTTTCTTTTTATGCTTCTTCCTTGCTGTCCCTGAGGAGATGGCTAGTCCCTTATAGTTAGGGAATAAACCATATACTTGTTTAGTCTTATTATATATTCCTTCTATTATATTTGATAGTATTTCTCATAAATATGAATGTCATCTTATGCATTATAATCTTTGGCTTTTAAACTGTTAGTTGATTTTCTGAGGCAAGCTTCAACACACACCAGAACCATAGTTGTTAATGGTAAAACATTTATTCATCATAAACATCATTTTACTTTTTCTTTTCAGTTGAGTGAATGCTTCCTGTGGGAATACTGGAAAATCAGATAAGAACAGAAAAGATCTCCTGCTGCTCTTTTTTCATTTAAAAAAGACAGCCTATGGGGGACTCATTTGCTATTTCTTTTTGACAAAATTCAGCCCTGAAATTTTTAGGAGCAGTATTTTTGAATGTAAAGAGACTAGTATTCACTATACCTAAATGAAAGTAGGTACACCACAACTGAAGAAAAATAGAGTATGTTGGAGATTATACATACATGCACGCACCCACATACAGATATACAGATACATATACACAAAGCATGTTCTCTATTGGATGAAAAGGGCCTTTTCCATTTTTTTTTCTTGGCTGGGGCTGGGTTTAAACCTGCCACCTCTATTATATGGGGCGTCTACTCCTTTGCACCGCCCCCGTGTTATTGTTAGACTTAAAATGACTCTCGGTAGGATAACGTTTTGGAACCAAACTAATCAGTTGGACAAGCATAAAATGGGAAGAGACTAGAGATTGGGAAGAGACTAGAGGAAGGGAAAATAGCTAAGAAGCTATTATGTTAATTGAGGTGAGGGGTGGTGAGAATCTATTGAAATAATATTGAATAAGAGGAAACTGATACATTTCAAAAGCAGTGAGAGGGCTTTTTGTGTTATTTTGTTCTTCTGCGAAGTTTCACCACCTTGGCTGAACATTAATATTGCAAAGGGTTTTTTTTTTTTTTAACCTATACCTGGGCCCCACCCCAGACCAATTAAATCAGAAACTCAGTGGCGAAGAACTTTTAAAAATAAAATCTTCCCAAGTGATTCTAATGCGCTGTCAAGAGTTGAGAAACCCTAAATTAGCTTGTTTGTTGGGAACTAAAGAAATATTTGTGGTTTACATGAATGAGAACATTGATAAAAGTTTAATGATTAATCTTTTCTTTTAGCGATTTATTTATTTATTTAGCAGGCCCAGGCCAGGTTTGAACCTGCCACCCCTGCTACATGGGGCCGGTGCTCTACTGAGCCAGGGCACCACCCCATTAATGGTTAATCTTAAAGCCACTTGTCAAGAGAGTTAAAACCAAAACTAGGAACCAAGTGCTCAAGTTGTAGTTCAGTGTTCTTGTCAGTGGATTTGTGAAGTCAAGAGACTTCATTTTTTCTATCATACTGTGTCTCTTCATCACATCTTAATTGTGAATAGAAACTTACTAGGAGCCTATAGTTTCCATGTACAACTCTGGTTTACATTTCATAAATTTGTGTAAGTAGTGACCCCAAAATATGTAGCAGCAAAATCTTGTTTTCTCTGTTAACAGGTTTGCTTTGAGGGAAAAATGGATGGTACACAGCTGTTGGCAAAGTTTTTATCTTTGGTGTCTTTTTACCTCTCTCTGCACTTCTGGTGTCTGCTTTTTACCCGGCCCCTCCCTTTCTGTCCCTATCAATCTTTCTTCCTTTCTCTTTCTCTCTTCAGCTTCACTCCCCTAACTTTACTGGAAGGATTAGCCAGATGATAATGGCAGCCTTTCTAGAAGATTAACATTTAAAAGGGGGAGTTTGCTAATTTTCTTCAACTGCTCTTGACCTTTTCGAGTAGACACCCCTTGGTTAAAATTTTCACCCACGAGAGTACATAACAAATGGGGATCAGAAATCTAGTAACTCTTTTAGGTAAAGTAGGGGACTCCTGCTATAATGTCTTCTCTGAGATGGTAGATACATTTGGCAAGATGAAGGGAAGTTGCCTAAAACTTTTTGGTCCATCTGGATACTATAATAATTTGTTGATTTGAAAATGTATTTAATAATTACTGAAACAAATCCTGGAACCTTTCATAGTTGTGAGATTCTGTCACCAGGGATACAATAAGTGGATATGTTTCAGCCTATTTGCAGCTGCTTTCTCTGTTTCTTTATGTCTGTTTATGTACAGAAGCAGTTAGTCTGTGAAACAATTTAGGAATTCTTACATACATCATATTGTGCTGTGTCCTGGATAATCACATGCTTTCCTGTAAACCAGAAGTCAACTCTAGTATTTCCTGCATGTGCTGGTTCACCTCTTCAACTGTAGGGCATGGAGCATTGCATCAGTTTGGAAAATGGAGCCAGATAAACTATAGCATTTGATTTTGTGAAGGTCTACTCAGTGCATTTAGTGGAATGAGCTCCTGACTGATTTTGTGGCCTTATTTAAATACCTGGCTTACTTTATGTAACAAATATTTTCCTGAAAAATCAAATATGAAGCACCTTTTTGTCAGTTGACTCATTTTTTTTTTTTGAGACAAGAGTCTCACTGTGACTCCCTCTGTAGACTACTGTGGCGTCACAGCTCACAGCAAGCTCAAACCCTTGGGCTTCAGCGATTCTCTTGCCTCATCCTCCCAAGTAGCTGAGACTACAGGTGTCCCCCACAACGTCCGGCTTTTTTTTGGTTGGGTTGTAGTTGTCATTGTTGTTTGGCAGGCCCGGGCTGCGTTTGAACCCACCAGCTCCAGTGTATGTGGCTGGCACCCTCACGGCTGAGCTATAGGCGCTGAGCCAGTTGACTCATTTTAATTGCTATGGATTGGATTTGAGTTGCTGAGCCTTATAGTGATTTATTTTATTCAGTGACAAATTTTTATAGCATAAACAGTTGTTCTATAATTTCTTTCTTTTGCAAGTTCACGTTTTAAAATAGAATCGTGTTTTAAGTTGCATTACATTCATCATTAAAATAATACCATTTGTACAACTCTTGATAAATTTCTAGGCACTTTCATATATATCATCCTATTGTATTCTAATCATAACCCTGTGAGCTTGGCCAGAGTACGCAGTAATTACTCCTTGTGGTTTAGAGGGCTTAAATGATGAGTCTATGACAGAGTATGGATCAGAGCCTAGGTTTACTCACTCT